CGACGGGCTGAGATTCAAAGGGAAAGAGAGACAGAGAGTAAAAGAGAAGCGGTCTCTCTGGGGTGGCTGCGTAAGTAAGCAGCCAAACCCGAAAGAGGAGGATCGCAGATTTAAGCCGACTGCTCGTAAATCGCGCTCGTCCGTGTCTTCAACGATTGGCTCCCGCGATCGATCCGAAAACAGAGAGAAAGAGAGAAAAAGAGAGAGAGAGAGTTATCTGCAGAAGCTGTTTCTGCAGAGAGAAACGTCCTGGCTCTGAACGTTGGAAACGTTCCGAACCGACGAAGTCAAAAGGAAGGGAACGATTAGGATAAATATAGCAAAGACGCGTTTCGCTATCGTTGATGGGTAAAATAAACGGCAACAGTGGAGTTTCTATCGTTTAGTCACCTGGGGCTTGCAATTCACACAGTTGAGATGAAGATTTTCGCCAAGAGTTTTTCGGGTAGCTTGGAATTACGTTTGCGTTCTCCAGCGACTGCACATCCGATCTGAACAAAAGTCCAAAGGTTGGGCCAAAAATCACTTACTGAATCCGTAATTTTTTAATAAACGTTAAAGTAATATGACATTAAAGCAATATATCCTTCAATTTTCTCCAACGTTTGAAAGAAATAATTTGTAAAAACACAGTGAAAGGAAAAACAGATCGTGTTTGAATTTAATTGAAAATTAATGAAATTATATTCTAATGTTTTATTAAAGAAAAAAAAAAAAAAAGTAGGTGGAAAGAAACTTTTGGCCCAACCTATATATCAATAGAATTATACGTAAAAAAAAAAAAAAAAAAACATCTTTCTACAATTGAAACATTTTGTTCCAAAGTTGTTCCAAAAGTTGGCACTAGAAAAGAGAAGAAAACATTCCAAGAATTGAAAGAATTATCCAAAAAAGTCTACAAAAGTATCTTGTCGAATCTTCCCCGAATTAACGATCGAGGAGAGAAGAATATATTTCCACAACGACACGCACCGGCCTCGAGCGTATAATTCTCGATACGTCGCAGTGCAACACTCGCGATATGTTGCAGAATTCCCGGGAAAACGATTTCCCAGAGAGAGAGAGTTTTCACGGGAAGCGGGATTCTCGAGGCCGCGCCGCGATCAGGCTTTGCCCCAGGAGCAAGTTCCTCCGCATCAAGGTCCGGTCTTCGCCGAGCGAGCGAGCGAGCATTTTTTGCCCCGACCACCCGTCGTCCCTGCACACTCGACCAGGAGGAGACACGATGCAACTTCACTGCGCGAAGCGGCCAGAAACGCGAGTGATTCAAGCGCGGATCCAGCGGGCTGCATCGATCATCATCATCACGCTCGAATAATGTCCGTGCAACACCATCCTGCAACGGCAACTGTGCAATACCCCTGTGCAATTTGTCGTCGAGTCAATTTAGGCGGAACGGTATTTTTCGACTGGATCGATCGACGCTTTTTCCTTTGATTCTGAAACGAAGGAGGGAGGAGGATCTCTTCGTTCGATGCGGGGAAATTGATAGGAGATTGCTTTAATGACAGGTTGGTTTAAACTTGGATTGCCAAGAGCCAGTGTAAGATTGGATACGTAAATTGACGATACGAAAAATAAATTCAAGAATCATTTTTCTCTTTTTTTTGAGAACCTCTCTGTTGGAAACTTCGTTTGAATTTTTGTTTGTTCAAAGATTGCGCGCCTGTAGAATAACTTCTTGGTGAGTTCTAGGTTCTCGGAGGAATTGGGAAAGCTTGCTAGGATAAATCTGCATCTGGCTTTAGATGGAAAGAGTTGTCTGTAATATTGTAACATTTGCACCTAGTTTGTAGCAATTCTGACTATTTTGAATAAACTTATCCAAAGAAAATTTATCATCATTTGAATAAACTTATCCAAAGCAAATTTATCACTTTGTAAACGTTGACTTTTATCACTTTCTTTTTTATCAAAGCGAAACTGATTAATTCGGGTTCGGTAAACAGATTGTAGGACTCTTTTACAGTCATTTTGACTGGTATTGGTATAAGTAGCCATGATACGAAATTATTTTGAT